AGAGGTATGGTTACGTCAAGAGGGGCGATTATTTTACTTAGGGCAAGGTCAAAAATTATGTTGCACAATGTTTGAATGCTATATATTCTACTTCATTGCTCTAGCATAGATTCTGTTGAAAGTTTGACATTCATACTTTTCTTCAGATCGAATCCCTAAAGAAAACTTCTTTAGAATCATTTCTGATAAGCAAAATTAAGTTTTAATCTATCCAAACCAAGAAATTGTAAGGAATTACCGAATATAACTTGTAGAAGCATTTAATTACTTAACAATATTTAAATAGTATAAAAACAAAGAAAATTTTTGATTAAATACTAGTTACATTTTCTTGGTAAACTTATAATCTTAACGAGTGAAATGCAACAGCATAACTAAAAAAAAAAACAACAACAAAAGAACGATGCTTCAAGAAGTAATATTTTTATCCAAGGAGCACACATCTTACGATAATTTCATGCGAACCTACCAATCATATAACCAAACAAATATACAACAAATAAAAGAAAATCCTAGACTCTTCATGACATACATTGCATTAACTATTAATGAAAAAATAGTTCTATTTCACCCATCTAGTATACGAAATTCAGCTTATATTATCCGAAGGTTTATTTGTATTTTTGATACAAGAACAAATAAACTGATAAATGTAAGTTTATAAAATGAAAATTTTCAATTGGTCCTTTCATTATTATATTTGCAAAAATATATAAGTAAACCAAAATGATAAAAAAAAATAAGTTAAGTTTTATTTTTAAAAGTTCAATTTTGGTAATTGCCAAGTATTTAAATATGCATCTCAAGAATAAAAAAAAAAAATAAATATCAATAAATAATAGCTTTAAAAAACAAAGTTGATGGATACTCGTAAAACTTTCCCATCCCTTTATACAAAAAATCTCTGTCATCATATATAAAATAATAATAGATCTTATAAATTAAAAAAAAAATTAACCAAGTTCAATCATATACAAATAAAAAATAAATACCTAGAAAAATAAATTAAAGTCTTATTCCATTTCTACCCATACTTTACCAGATAAAAGATCAATGAGATTATAAAGGCATATATGAACATCGAAGACACTGATTGCATTCAATATTTAAATAAATAGAGCATTTTACTACATGAGATATTAAATTCATACATTACAATAGATATATATTGTCACGGCTCAGATCATATGAAATTTAACGTGAACAATTGAATCATCAAAATGACTCAAAAATCTTATTATACAATCAACAACAGTACTCGCAAATATTATATTATCATTGTATGTAGATAGATATGTTTCTTATATTTTTTTAAATAAAAAAATAGAATATCTGCATGACATCCTCAAGCAGATGAAAAGACAAAGAAAAAAATTATAACATTAAAAAAAAGATAAAATAAAAATGATTAATAAACACTTACAAAATCACCAGGCTGTGCCAAACCGTCTAGACCAATTTTAAACATCTTAATAAGTTAACTCTAAATGCCTGGATCAATAAGTTTAAAAAAAAACTATCTACATACACTGATTCACAAATAGAACAATATTGATAGATATATTTGTATATATCATTAGATTCAATCAAATTAAAAAATATATATAGAAAAAAAAAAGGAAAAGGAAAAAAAAGCTATATCGTTGGCTTCTAAAAGACGGTGGGGCTCAGCCAGTAGTGATGTGGTGAGGGTATAACAGTCATTAAACATTTCCTGCAACAGTAACATAGAAAATAGCTTCTAAAACAAAAGCTAACGGCCAGTCAAATAGTTAAATATATAGCAGCATACCTCAAGCAACTCTCTCTTACCCTGTTTTATTTTGATAGCTGACTATATCTCCACAAAGAAAATTTATATCTACTGTTGATTTTTTTTTTAAATAATATTTTATAAGCTCATTTCCAATTTAAATTTTTTTGGTCTTAAAACGTTATCAGAATTAATATATAAATCTTAGTACTTGTCCAGTCCTCGGATCCCCATTAAGTTTGTTTCAGTTTTCTTGAGGTGAGTGATAATATACAGAGCTATTTTATGAACTGTTCTAAAATATTTACCTTATCAAAAAAACATCTAAATTAAAAAGGGCAGATCAGAAAATAAATTTACGTCCCAAGCAATGTTATCTTACAAAATAGAACAGAATAAAAAAATAACTTTATTCTGGGACAATGTCCCTTAAGAATAATAGCTGTTTATAGAAAAATACAGATTATTTCTTGCCAAAGGACTAAGATATTGAATAATTAAAAAGAAAAAAAAAAAATTTTACTATCAAAAATACATACGGTCTTATTTTAGAAAATCGAAAATAACATTCTAGAAATATATATTGATAGCTCAGATTTTCCTATGTATTTATCATATTTTTTTTACAATAGATACTATTTTAGGTATTATTAAATATCGACATTATAGCCATAGAATAAAATGGATAAAGCTATGATTCTCTACCTGTTATTTGATTTTGTTCACTGCATCGATCGTTATAATATGATTATAATATCTCTTATATAAAGAAATCACCTTAAATCCATTTCTGCTAATATAAATTTTGAATTATCAACCACCTCAAAAATTTCTGAGCTTATTATCAATTACGCCAGCATGTACCTAGATAACGAAAACAGTTAATAGCTATTATTTATCCAATAAAATGCATGTACTGGGATAATAATTTTGTAACCTATAACAAACACGTCCCGTCTAAAATATACTTGTATCTCAGAAAGAAAACTTGAATTTTTTTTTTTTTAACATAATTAAGAATACCTAATCTGAGAGTGCCTCAAGTTGGGCACCTCTTAATTAAACATTATTTCTATTTTGATAAGACCTTCATTCTAAACCTAAAGATAAGATTCTTTCTTGAATCAATTAATACCCATCCACCTTCAACTTAATCCTGCCAATGATGAAAATACTACCAAACATTTTATTTGAAAATACAACTAATACTGATCTTACACCTGTTTTAAAATCTTCTTTTTGTTTTCATAATATCCTTACACTTCAACTATTGATTTTTTTTTCTACTTTTAATTTATTTTTATCTTTCACCACAATAATTCCTTCTCTGTAAGCACCAATCAAATTATTGTAGATACCAGGATGTATTCAAAATACTACAAGACTCAACAAGTACCATAGATTTTTTCTAATTAATTGATGATAGCTGTCATTTTTCCTTAATTACTTAGACACAGGATAAGAGAGAGTGTAGTCACAGCATTTATTACAAATATTCTATTTTTTTTTATTTCTTTTTTTTATATTTATCAAGTTCAAAATCAAGAATTTATTAATCACATCATTAAAATCTATATTATACATATGAAAATATAATGACATAGACACCTCACAAGTCAACCACAAAATAATCAACATCCCTTTTTCCATGCATATTAGAATAACAACTAAGTTAGAAACACCATTTTATTAGATAATAAATCAATATTATTCATTAAAAAATAAATGAAGTTTTAATCAGCAAATATTTACATCTTGAAAAAATTATTCCTGGACTATGAAATCAGTGAAATAAATGAGAACGACCTCGAAAAAAATTATTTTTGGATCAGTACACCAGTGTAGTAAATGATAATGGCAGGAAGGATTCAAACTACACATCGGGTCAAACCTCCTACTGATTCACATTATATTCCCAATAAACAGCATATTAAATCTTGAGATACTTTGCTTATTTATATTTATAATGTTGATTCCAAACTTAAATAATAATAACAGTTATTTACTTCAATCAATTTAAAAAACCTGTTAACAGACCTGCAGTATTGCAAAAAAAAAAAATTGTGATCGCATATAAATTTTCTTGTATAAAATCTCTAAATAAATAAATTATTTTTCATTTAATTTCATTAAATAGGTGATTTGAGTAATGTCGAAAATAAAACTTTATATGCTAATACAAATGTGTAAATGATTTTTTTTTTTTTTTTTACTTAAGCTCATATATTTATTTATATTACATGCATATCTAAGTTATAGACAAAATATTGGCATTCTCAATAAATTATAGCTAATTAATACTGATTTTTTTTTTAAAGGAATCTTTCAGTCCCGATACATAGAGATCTCTCAACAGATTTATGGAGAAAATAAAGTGATATTGCTGTACAATGGATATGGGGAATATAATGGGAATCTAGTTAATACATCATTACAAACAGATAATTTTCTTATCAATACATTATTCACAGTTTACTTTAAAACTAATTGTCCGTGGGAATAGAAGAAATTTAATAATTTAATTAATGGAATAATTTAATTTTATATTAAATATTATAAGATTTCAAGCGATAAAAAGGTAAAGCGATAAAGAGTCGGCATTGTTTACAAATAAGCAATAAGTTTTTTATCAAAAATCTTTTAAAAATTCATAAAATTTGGATAATCAGTTATTAAAAAACAAAATTCAATGTTAATAGATATATTCAGATAATGTTCATTGTATGAAATTATATATATATAGTTTTACTATTATTTAAACCATTTTATAAATTTATTATTAAAAATAAATATTTTATTTTGGAAATCCTATATTCAAGGTCTTTACTAACCATGAGGCCATAGAAAAATATCCTGGAGGGGTAGATTCGGCCATTTTATTATCAAAATGAGTTACTAATTTTTTTTAAAGAATAAAGAGATATTTGAAACATCAAAAATCTAAAAGAAGATTAATACAACTCTTGTATATCTTCCAACTAAAAACTAATTCTCATAGCGACTAAAGACCTCTAAGTATTTGTAACTTATATTTTTCTTCTATATTAGTAGCACCGAATTTGTTTTTAAAGCATCGACCATATCTTTGGTCGCATTGCATCTTCTGTTGAAGCTTTTCATAATTTGACTGATAGTTTTAAGCATATAAGTAAATAATAAAGCTTCCCTTCTTTAGCAAAAATTAAATGGGAAGGGAAAACATGTAAGGTAATTAATTAACCAGTGAATAGGGCAAATGAAGACTTACATTGAGGAGCGACATAGTTGCTGGGGAAGAGTCCAACTGCTCCGTTCAGTTCACCCTTCCACCACGAAGGCTCGTCCTTCGCAAGAACAGTAACTATGTCACCTTTCTCAAAGCTCAGCTCATCTTCATTTTGAGCTGTGTATTGGTACAATGCAACGACTCGTTCTAAATTGATAACATAATTAATTAATAGAATCATAAATCAATTCAATATTGCATGTAATAATCATAAAATTAATTAAGAAAAAAACAATATAAAAATACAAACTTAAATTCACCCTACAAGCACACAAAACTAATGAGATCCACCTTCACATTACTTTATGATATTAATTTATAAATTTTAATTACTTTTTTTTAATTGAAAGTCTGATTACGTTATTTTCTTGGAAAAAGAAATCATACAATTTGACACATTTTCATTATCTTTAGACTAGTTAATTAATTAGTCTCGAGTTCGGATGTGATTGATTTAACACGTTAATTCCAAGTTCAGAAGAACTTTCCATAATTGAACACTTTTAGGGGAGAAAATTTTGTCCGCTTGATGTGGACAAAGACAAGAGGTGTCTGCATGTGAAAATTGTAAAAGTATATAAGATACAAAAATATTAGGTAAAAAGCAAATAAAAAAAAAGGAATTTAAGATGAAAACAACTTAGGGATTTGCGAAGATCTCTCAGATCATATGCTGGAGTAGTGTTTTACATTAAATTTTATGGAGAGTTAATAAAATATACAGCAGAGTATCAATTATACTGAAAAATGATCATCTCAATATATTGAAATAATATTAATAGAAAAAAGATGGAAAAATTTAATATTTTAACATAATATTATATTTAAAAAGTATAATATAAAAATAATATTTTCCCTAAAATGTATATATATATATATATATATCTTTTTTTTATTACACATTTCTTTATTGAGTAATATTACATTTTGTGACATACATCTAAAGCTTTTAAAAATAATAAATAGTCTGTTTAAACTAAATGAAATGTTATTTTTACAATTTAAAACACTTGAATCTATTGCAAATTTAGCAATGTGCAATTGATCGTTTTACTAATTAATCACACAAAGAATGACCAGACTATTTTCTTCTTGTGAAAAACTGAAGATAATTTTGTTTTAAGCAATTGGATATACCAAAATTAAGCATAATGATATATAAAAGTTATTACCAAGAAGAGTGTCCGTTAATCCAGACTCTGAAGATTTCCGAGATTGAGGTTGTGAAGTTTTACCACTGGCACCAAGAAGCTTCACATATGAAGCTGGGAACCAACCAACTTGCCTCTTTTTTCCTTTAGCCTAGAAACAAAAAAAAAAAAGTCAAGAGATAAGAAAGTGAAGTCAATAAAGAGTGCTCTAGAGAGGCAGCCCCTCCATCTGAAGAGGCTGCTGAAGAGGGCTGATTACCCTCTCTCCTTAAACCAACATATCACGAAACCTAAATAAGAAAAAAGAAAGCAGGACAGATATCAGGAAAACAACAAAACTCATGTCTCAAGGAATTCAAAATCGGCTACTGGAATGTTTTAACTATATATAGGCAAAGAGTCCTGCAAAGGCTCATAGCTAAACAGGACTCCTAGTTGACACAGCCACAATCCAGGAGAAAAGATGGACCAGTAAAGGAATGTTTAACAAACAGGGCCACACAATTTACTACTACCTTAGGAACTAGCTTCATTGTTAGCAAGAGGATGTCCTAATTGATTATTGACTTTTTAGTATATGTACCGCTGAAGCGAGGATTATTGACTTTAAACCAGTCGATCCAAAAATCTGCTATCTTAGAATTAAAGGCAGATTTTGCATGTATCAAGGTTAATGGATGTAAGGGTGTACAGAGGAGCAAATATAGATTTGGATCATTAGCTAACTGTGGCCAGCTTAAGAGCAGGAATATCATGTAGAAGGAATCCTTATGGAGATTGCCTGACTAAATATAAGGTTGCCAAAATAAAAGATCCTGACACTAATGTAATTACTATTTAATGTAACATAAACCAATTATGAAAAATTATATTATTTTAACAATAAACGAAAAGTTATTATGAAACAAAGGGTGTTAGTACATAATATAACAAATAAGACATAGTCATTATTAACTAACAAACAGGGTGATTCAGTTCAAAATAACAATATATAGAAAAATATTTAATAACATTAAACATTACCATAAATATGTAACCATGCTATAAGAAATAATTAATACAACTCTTTCCTAGGATCATCATATGTATATATGCAAATCGTACTGATGCAGTTCTAATGAACTTTATATGAAAAAATTAATAAAAGTATGATCTCATTTTAAATAATGAAAAAGACATTTTAATTTTTTAATTACTACATTGACTTATTTTTCACCTATACCTTCATTATAACTTATTACTTTTAAATAATACTGTAATAGTCATATATAATAAAAATAAATAAGTCTTTACCAGTACAACTTATGAATGACCTTGAGTTCAGTAGAGAGTAAGAACATACTGCTTATTCATCAAACACAAACAAGGTGATGTGGTCAACACCTACAATCAACCGTCAGGTTCATTGTGCAACACAACAACGTGCCAAGTGTCGACTTTATACCTTTAATTATTATTATACATATATGAGACTGTGGTGAGAGGGTAACAGAGGGTCTCCAGATGCTGACAATCTCGGATTGATATTATAGAATAAATAAACTTTAATCACCGCCAGGTTTTAGTGCGGGCCTGAGAGTCCAGTGGCTTACCCTTTTAGTTATGAAAATAAGTTAGAACAATATTTTAAACAAAAATTTGAAACAAAGATAAATAACAACAAATAAAACAGACAGCTAATAAACATATAATACAAGGGCATTTTATTTTGAGAGAATGAATTCACAATTTAGTAAAAAAACACTGATTATATACATAATATAATTTAAACCATCAACAAGTTAAAAAATCCAGTATGTTTTACCTATCAAAGCACTTTGTCATAATTTTAATAAAGACTTTCAATCAAGCAAATTAGATATCAAATTTAAGGCAATCGTTTCATGAATTTTAATTGAAGAGAATTAATACAGAGTTATGGAAACCAGTAGTGTTTACTCTTGTCTCTTTAAGACTTGAAGATGATGGGGCGAGAAGGTATAAAACCAATGGAATGATTTTTGAACATCCACAAAATCATGTGCATAGATCGTTTTGAATCAAAAATTAGTCTCCAAACATTTTATCTGTTTGGTTTTCTAATTCTTCGATTATTGAACAATATTATTATTGCTCAAAATTGAGACTATAAAAAATAAATATTACCAACTGAAAATAAAAGTGTAGTCTTCCCAGAGTTAAGAAGTGAAAAATGCTTAAAGAAGTGCATCCTTAAAGTTAAATTAGAGATACCATATCTTCAATAACCTTTTTAATCGGAAATGTAGCTATTCCGAAACTGAATCACCCTTTTCAATTTTCTTAAGAGATTACCTGAAGCTCTCCTTCCCACCATCCTGTAGTGGTCTTCTTCCTAATCATTATTAATTGGCCCCTTTGCAAGCTTAATTGTTCTTTACTTGTAGCTTGATATGGTACGATCACGGTAGCGATTAGAGGCTTCCTGCTTTTCCCACCCTATAATATTAACTGATTATTTGAACATATTCATTCTTATTTTATATCATGTTCAAACTTAAAGAAATTTGATGTTATAAAGTCTCTTTCAATCTATGAAGTTACTATATTTTTATTTGTTTTGATTTTTTTAAGCAATCTAAATACAAAAAAGGGTTTATGGCACCAACAGGTTGACACATCCTAATTCCAATTATAATTGGATTAATATCCATATAATTAATAATTAGATTAATACTTATATCATTAAGAAAAACTTATTTTCTATTGAACTTATAACTTATTTATTGATATAGCAGTCTCATGGCAGAGTAATGATTTCGATAACAAAACCAATAATTTACAAAAAGATTATCCAAGTATCTTATATCATTAATAACATCCGATTTTACGCCAGCAGAACTTCTTTTTAGATTTGTCATATGTTTTAATAGAACTCCAGCACACAGATTTTTTTTTTTTCGAAATGACAAATAGACCCACATCAACACACTACCATCAACCTGTCAGAATTGCATTCCCCTATTTGTTTTATACATATCTTTTTGTTTATTTGCCCAATGCTTTTCATTATTTTTTTAATTATTATAATTTAATTTTCATCTTCAATTTTTTTTTCAGTAATTATTTATTGATTATAATATACTCCACAGGATACAACAACTAGCTCAAGAATATTCATTTAAAGATCGAAGGATAACATTTAGCTCACACTAAATTAGAGAGATTAATCAATTAAAAAAAATAAAATAATATTTAGTAGGAAAAGAAAAATATATCAGTTAAATTGTTTCTTTTAATTTCCTTGACCAGGCAATATAAATAACAAGTTACATGTAAAAAATAAATTTATATACACATATACATAAAAACTAAACATGCAAAAATTAAAATAAAAATAATTTATTTCTTATAATTTTGTTGGAAGTTTTCAGATAATTTTATTAGATAATAGTGATCACCTCAAGTGAAGTTTATGTACACCATTGTCTAATAAAACAATTTAATATTAATGTCTACTGTCTACCACATGCCAATAGGAGCCACAATTTTAAAATAAGAATTAATAAATGGTTAAATTAAAAACTGAAAGCATAAACAAATCACATAAATTGTTATGATTATTTCTCAGTAATTGAATTGAAATGTTTTTTATAAGCATCCCAAAAGTAGCATATATTATATTATTTATTGGATTTACTAATTACCACACACTAATTAATAGAAGCACGAGAGGATTATTGTTTAAGTTATCATCATATATATATTTTTTCCGTTGGTGCTAAAGACCGCGTAGATCTTTGACCGCAAGATGTGGTGTTCTAGACCACATCCCGAATCCTGATTTAAGTACACAGGGATAGGGTCATCAGTCCTACGCCCGGTCGTTGTGAGTTGCCTCCAGTAGGCTGACGGGCCTCACAAACCCAGGGGGAGTCTTGGGCAGCGTGGCTTTCTCTTGTGGACAGTCACCCAAATCGGGCGTTCACCCATCCAAGTGCTAACCACGCTCGGGGTTGTTTAACATATATACATATACATATATATATATATATATATATATATATATATATATATATATATATATATATATATATATATTTATTATTATTTTTTTTTAGAGCCAATAATAAAATAAATATTACTACTCTCTCATGTGACAACTGAGCCAGAAAAACTTTTAGCACAACATGCTAACTACGCTAACTATATGCTATAGCAGTATGCAAGCTAGAGTGATACTGTCCTTCTTAAAACTTTAACAGTGATTTTTTGAGTTATAGAAATAAAATAGATTTGTTTTATTAATTTAAAAAAAATTTGGGTAAGAAAATAAAAATACCAGGATAAAAAAAGAAATAATAAAATAGATTTCTATCACACCACGAATTGCAAATTGATTTGGAAACATGTCACACAATATCATACCATGCAGATTCATTCAAATTATGATAAAATGAGAGAAAGAAAATCCATTATATACCCCACGTGCTTAAGTAAAGAAACAACTATTAACTGACCATCAATAAAAAAAAAAGAAGCATTTTTTAACCGAAATTCCCATCAGAAAAGAAAATAATCAGGCAACTGATCAAAATTTCATTTTACCTTTGTCTCACTTTCTTCTCCACCACTTCCAGACTCCACCTAAATTTGTCAAGAGACAAACGGACAAAGAAGAGCATAACATTTAGGGTTATAATTACAAAAATAAAATAAAAACCCATAAAAACAAAAATAAACAACAAAATAACAAATTTAATGTGAAAATGCAATTTAGCAGTTACGTGTATGTTAAAACTAAAACTAAAAACATAAAATATTAGCCACAAATCAATTAATGTGAGTAAAAAGTAACAAACATATAACAACAACCTGAGATGAAAGTATGGAGAAATCCGGTGTAACTACTTTATTGCCTTCATTGACATTCTGGAAACGGAGAACAGATATCTATTAAAACTTAATGTTTATTCAATAGCCAACGATTAAACAACTTGTTATTACACAAAATAAGTTTCACGCAATTTCTATAAGAGTTACCTGAATTGGTGGTGGCGGTTCAGCTGTAACTGGGGACACTTTCTTCTCAATCACTGGTTCTTCCACAATAACAGGTTCCTTCTTTGGCTCTTCGACAGGCTGAGAATTAAACTAATAATCCCGAACTATTAGTAAAATAAAAACTAATAATTGATTACAGTTTTAAAGTATTATTTATATTTTAGAGGTGATGAGTGCTTTATCATCGATCCTTTATAACAATATATACATTTTTGGGGGGGATGTGGAGGAAGGGTAGGGAATCAGACAAAAAAAGGAATAAATAAATTATAATGGCTGGGAACAGGCAGAAAAAGAAGAGGCCTGGAATTAAGAAGACCACCAAATAATGAATATCAGCCTGAAGAACTGAAACCTTATCAGGTCAAGACAGTGAATGAATAAAGGAAAACTTTTTATTTTATTTTTTTATTTCTTTATTGAATATTACAACAATCTGTCTCAAAGGAAAACTAGGAGTGGTATAGTAGAGCAAAGTGCTATGTGATAAGTGTTACCAAAATACAGGAAAATAAATAATAATATCCTGTATACTTCTAATCCTGAAGATGGCAATAATGCTTGAAAAAAACAAAACAATGGCTGCCATGATAAATTAAATACTAATTGTTTGATTTAATGATGATTGATCACAGACAAATAATTAGAATTACAGCCCTATCTACATCAATGAGATTTTGGAACGCTGTGCCAATTGTACAGAAATGAAAGATTTTAAGTTTTGAAGTGGAAGATACGCAACAAATTAAAAAAAATATTCTGCACAACAAATTCTTCTTTTTTTTTATTTTACCTAAGAGTTAAATATTTTTTTCATAATATTTAATTTTCATACAACTGAACAATTTAACTATTATTTTTCAATTAGTATAAATAATGGCTTAATAAACAACAATTCTTTCAGTGAATTGATAAGAAATGTTATTACTGTTTTATACATTGTTGGTTTATTGCAAAAAGTTTTTTAAACTTGAAGGTAAACATAGCTTAATTTGTTGAACCTGGATTGAGCTACTTTAGGGTCTACTGAGACATTGATTCAACAAACAAATTATAAAATGTGATAAAAAGAGAATCTTTCCAAAAATACTTTTTTTGAAGTCAACTTAATAAAAACAGTGAAATAGTATTTATTTTAGACATCTTTTAAATTGTTTTGATATTTAAATCCTCATAAATCAATAAAGAAAATTATTTATAATATACCTGTGTATTCTGAGAAGAGGCATCGTAAGTTTGAACATAGTTGGAAGGGAATATTCCAGACCTATCTCCAATCTGACCAGTCCACCAATCTCCATCTTTACCAGTCACTAATATAACCTCGCCCTGATCGAAAGTCAAATCGCCAACTTCATCAGATTGATAAGGGTATAATGATATGTAATAATCACCAGTACTAGGAGTCTCTGCGAAATCACAAGCATTATCGGTGAGATAAGCTCAGATATTAATTATATAATATATTTTCCCAATAATAAATAAATATAAAATTGATTTTTTTATGAAAGGACAAACCTTGAACCGTTGGGGAAACAGCTGATACAGCAGGTGCAGTCTCTTCAAAAACAACATAAGATTTAGGAAACCAACCTTCTGCAAGGTTAACTTGCCCGTAACACCATTGGTCCTAAAATATGATACAAAATCACTATGATTTTTTATTATTTAGTAGAAAAAAAATATTAGAGAAGATATTTAAGTAAAACTTTCCGATGAAAATTTAAAATGAAAAACCTCAAAGCAGAAATATATATTATATTTCTTATAAATAAGAAAAAAATAATTCACATCTGTTTGTTTGTTTATTTGGACTTAAGATCCTCATGTACTCCAACAAGGATCAGGAGGACTAATCAATTTAGAGGTACCCAATCTATTCTAGCCAGAAAAGGAAAGTCAAAATTCATTCTGTGGGTCTACCACAATATAAATTTCAGCCAGACTCAAGGTTGCTAAGTTATATTGGAACTAACTCTGTCACCTGATTTAAATTTTTATATTTAATCAGGTAATTCTATACTAGTCCACTTTAACTACGGTTTCATTTTTTATGGCCTTTATATCACCCAATTGCTGCTGAAGAGGATGGTGACTATATGCTTTAGTTCAATGAATTTGACAAGGAACTCAAATTCCAAGCACTGAATGGAAACAAGCTGAAAAGTCAAGAACGAGTTAGTCAGAGAAATGTTCAGTGAGGTCAAATATTCAAATACAACTTATAGTTTTTGTTGTTTTTATCATGTAACGTTTTCTTGTTTTCCAAAAGCATTGTAGCCTCAGAGGCGACATTTGGGCTGATATGTAAACAATTTGAACAGAAATGCTGAGGCAGCTGGAGAACCTGAAGGAATTGCCAGTGGCCTTCCAGGAGTGGAAACGAAGATTATTTTGTATTATAGATAAGTGCATTGTGTCTCAGAGTGAGGATTTTGAATTACCAGATTAACCCTTTTAATATAAAGCTGTCACATAGGATAACACTAATTTTTTTAATTGGCACTAACATTATAGCATTATCATATCTATTATTAAATTTAGTATAATCTTTTTTAATTAATAGGATGTATAACAAAAAATTACTGTTTTCCAACCAAATATTTGTATTATTATTTCTTTGATATAAAACACAATTAATACTCAAAGCATAGTCCATTGGTATCTACCGTCATTAGCCATCTGCTAGTCAACTGCTCGATCCCACGCTGATACCATTCTTTGGGATGGCTGTCAAAGAACTCTTAGACCGCAATTTCAACTTCTACAAAATTATCAAATTTTTTCCCTTGAAGAAAATGGGCCATGAATCTAAACAAATAGTAATCCTATGGTGTGAGGTCTGGACTATATGGTGGATGAGGCAGGAGTCTCCTAAATTTTCAAAATTATTAACCTCTTAGCTGATTGCTGAGGAGTAAGTACGTGAGGGACCAGTTTACTGCTCTTTTTCACCTTCCCCATGAAGAGTAGATGGCAACTAACAGAATCTTTCGACACAAAACACTCCCTGGCAAGTTCACGAGTACTTGTGGATGGATTTCACTCAACAGCTTTCTGCAGAAGCTCATTAATATCCATTAATGGTCGCCCAGAACTCTACTTCCTTTCTAACGTTGTATCTCCACTGATAAATTTTTCAAACCAATGCCATGCAGTGCGCTGCTCCAGGACACCTTTCCTTTCATATTTAATAATTTTACGAGTTGCTAGTGGCTATGAAATTTGTTTTCCAGTAATGCCTTAAAATTATGAGAATTTTTTGGGACAATGTCATGTTTCTTTTTGGAAACAAATAACTAGACTCAGGCTTTTTGAAGAATTTTTGAAGAAGTCAAATGGGATTAAACAAGCTTAGATAATACTCTAAAGGGATTATTAAGTATTGGTAAGTATTAAATAGGATTAAAATATTTACAACCTTTTGAAATCTTGAATTTGATAAAACGGTCATTTTTTTTTTATACATCCTATTATATTATAAGAAGTTTTAGTTTTTGTTTTAATAATATCAGCTTTTACTATTCTGTAATGTCAGCACCAATTTAAAAAGTAAATAAATTGTAGTGGTATACGTATGGATACCTTGGCCTGAAAAGGGTTAAATTCCATTATTTTTAAGTTTAAAAAAGAGTATTAATGAAAAATAATTCTAATGGATAGGCATTTAAAAGATAAAATCCTGTACTATAAAACATCTTTAGAAACAATTTTTACTTTATGTATGAAAAAAATAAATATTTAAATGAAAGCGCATACATATAAATATAAATAAAATGAATCTGAAGGTGTTACCTGAATTTCAGATACACTAATAAGATCCCCTTTGAGGAATGAAAGCTGGGATCCTTGAGTAGCTGAAAAGGTGTAGGCAGCCCTTGCCATTAAATCTACTGCTTTTCCTAAACCTAAAATAGGATTGAGGCCCGTAGGCAGTGATGGGCCTTCCTCGATAACTGAGCCTGTATCACTTTCTGCAACTTCAACTATCCCCCTAAAAACACACACACAAAACAAGTTTTTAAGAGTATATCCTGAATTATAATATTTTTCTAGAAAAAGATTATTGACAATAAAGGTAATCAAAAAGCTGAATAACTTCAACTCTAAATAATTAAATTATAATTACAAATACTTCGTCACCACCATTAAAATTAGTTCAATTATTATTTATTTTTTATGGAACAGTAAATATCTACCAGTTATCAATGTTTTTAAGAATACAATAAATTAACATTCTAATCAAAAATATTAAAATTTTGTTTTATATAAACAAAAGGCCAATTTTTGACCAAATAAAATGGTAATGTCCTTGCAGAACACAGATTTTAACTGAAAAACAATTGGAAACTTCAGTACCGCAGTGAACTCTGAAGGAACAGTTGTAGAAGTAGGATTGAACGACTAGGTACTGGGTAAGATAAATATTAGGTTCGCCAAGCAATGCCAAAAGCTTACGATAATGAAATGTAATAAAAAAATAATTTTATTATGGAATGAAAGTTCCATAAGAATAATTACAATGTTTTGATTTCTAGCACAGTTGCAGAATCTGAAATATAACAAATTCTTCTCACTTCAAGTACTAAATATAAATTTAAAATAGTTTTACTTAATGTTTACTGACTAAATATAGAGTAGTAATTATTGTTATAGAAATTAATATTGCTTACATTAATGAGGTGGCTTTATTATGAAATAAGTGAAGGAAATTCCTTCAAAGAGTAAGTTTTATTTAATATATGGAATACGAGAAGGAAAATTGATGAAAAGAGATGGTTAAAGAATTCCAAAAGGATGTAACACAAGTGGAAAAGGATTGGCTGAAGAAAGTGGTTTTGTTGGATAATAATCCGTACAAGGAAGCTTTTGAGTACAACTGGAAGGAATTAGTAGGGATCATTTCACCCTCCTCTAATGAGAAGAGAATCAGAAAATAAGTGGTAGAAGTATTGCGCTACTACTACAAAATATACAAAAATCTGTATTGTCGAGAGGTAAGGAAAGATGAAAAAATAAATAAAAATGATTTTATAAGAGGGATTAGCTTTATGTAGGGCAGTATTTGTTTTAAACGATGTGGGAGGACAAGAAGGTATTGGTGCCGAAAAGGAACCTTCTTCAACAATAGAAAACATCGGTATAACAATAGAAAACATAACAAAACCTGGGAATCTGAACATGAATCTCATGAAACAATTCTTAATTCTCTTCAGTCCAGTCTAATCTAATCCAGTGGATAGCCCAGCATCAAGCAAACATAGTCAACGAGGTGGAGCAGAAGAACATCTAGAGATTAATGTGTTCTTGACGATATGATATTGCTGAGTCCCCTTGTTTAGGGCAGGAAATCGGGAATAATTTCAAAATTTGAGACAAAATGGGAGCATTCTAGCCACTTTAAATTTTAACTTAAAACTATTCAGCTTATAATTTTGCATTTAATGATCATCTTTAATATGAATTGTAAATTCGTGTGTGATGTCTAAGATATTTATTTTATTTTTTAATCATGTGGGGTACTGGACAGCCCTCAGGAAAGTTGTTAGGATTATTATCCTATAGTTAACTGTAAAAAAAATTCTGCAAAGTAGAATTAGTATAGCTTTCTCACCATTTCTACTGGTTATATAAAAAACTAAGATCTACAATTTGTCATTTAAGAATAGAATCTACAGGAGAAGCCGTGAAAGATTGTTAATATTGTTGAACTACAATAATTTAAAATTAAAAGTACAAGTACAATAGTTTGGATCACTTACTCTAAAGGTGTTTTAGGAGTTATAGAAGTAGGAATAATATCTGAAGATCCATTGAACCCAGATAGCGGCTCTACATAAGTTTCTGGAAACCAACCAGTCTGACCTCTCAATTCACCAGACATCCACCCGGGTTCGGCATTTTGGTTAATAGGAACCTGAAATATCACTAATATGATTAATAGCTCCGTACTTTCGCTGGTAAAACTTTTCCAAAAATCAATTTCAAAACAGAACTTTAAATGTATCGTTAATAAGGTAATTGTTATAATTAGACATACATGGACCAATCCTACTTTTAAAACATTAATAAAAAGATAACTAATTTATTTATTATTATTTTATAAATAGAAAATCAAATCTAACCAAAATGATATCTCCTGGTTGAAATGAGAGCTCGTCACTGTTTCGTGCAACAAACTCATAAAGAGCACGGTACCTAGAATATCCTGCAATCATTTAAAAATTAAATCAACTTAAGAAATTTGATCTTATTAAAATAATTTACATAAATAATACACAGTAAATACAAATCTTACCTGGAGTTTCTTGTGTTTCATCAGGCCATGCTGCCGAGGAAGGCGTGTTATCCCAAGCAGATGTACCCCAAGCATCATCATTATTAATAACTGAAGATTTATTTATGCCTTTTATCTTCATGTACTAAAGAGAATATTAAACACATTTATAAATTGAGTAAAATACATGTATATAGTAGATAATTTTACTAGTTCCATTATTTTCAATAATGAACCATTGTGACCGAACAAAAAATTCAAAAACTTAACCCCCCCCCTCAAAATTTGAGGCTTTACGTTTCAGGATACATTGAATTTATAAAACGAATACAAAGTTTTTTTGTCCATCCGTCGTCCGCGCATTTTCTCCAAAACTAGTAGACCGACTTTTTTTATAATTTGGATTTAAAATTAGAGGTCACCCAAGGATTCCGAATAACTCAAAAAATATACAATTTTTTGTAGATACTGCTGGTTATTTAAATTTAACAGAATTTCATAAAAAAAAAAAAAAAAAAAAGAAGTTAAATTTGGATGATTAGGAGCAAAGATATGGTCTCTAGATGTTTTTCATATGTTCTACTGCAAAGCTTATATCCTTTATTTTGGTTTTTGAATGTTTTACTGAAATAATGCTTTTTTTTAGCATATTACTAATGATTAAAAAAAAAATGTTTAGTCCAATAATTGAAATCACCTTTTATTTCCCTTTCTTTGTCACTAGGAAGGTAATGTTACTTTAGATGTATAATTGTTTGGAAAGGAATAAACCATTGTGAAATAATTTGCAGCATTTTTTTATACGGTGCCTTTTGAAGGGTAACATATGCATTGAAAATAATTAATCGATACTAATATACAAAGCTGCACAGTTGGCTTAAGCAAGATTCTGAACTCTGAGCTGAATTCAATAATGGCATCAGGAATCCATCAAACCGTTCTTAAACTCATTGATGGGATTCAGCGAATTCCTTTATTCAGTAATCGAATCACTGGTTGCTCAGCAATTCCATCAGCTCTTGAGATCGATGAATGCGCTGGATATATCCTCAGTGTTGTTAGTTCCTAATTTATTTTACATATTTATATTCTTGTAGTTGTATAGTTGTAGGAAACGGATCTTCCAATGCTCAAGATCCTAGGTTCCAATCCTGGCTCATGACAGAAAAATTATTTATTTGGTTTCATCAGCCATGGGACGACCCTGGGATCAGAAGACAGTCTTTTACAAAGTAGGTATCCATAATTAAATAATTAATTAAGGGGGAAACCTGGTTGTTGAGTGTGATTTTAGACAAATCACCTCCTTGCACAACCGTTGACTATGAAACAGTACTTTCCCTAGATAGTACAGAACCTAAGACCCTTCATTGGTTGTAGTGGAGCAGGTTTTTTTTTTTTATAAATATATTCTATCAATAATTATTTCTGTTTTGAAATTAAATGATGAGTAAGTAGTTATTTCCTTACGATATTTTTTTTTAGTTTTCATGTGTTTTGTAACCTTAAAGAAGTGTTAACCTTTCAGTGGTATCCATCAATTCATTTCTAAACTCAACATAAATAGCTGCTGGATTTAATCGATTGAAGAAACCCAATGATGGAATTTGCACTGTATTTAAGAAATTCAGAAGCTTTTCTTCAAAATATTTAGTGATTTTACACTACATTAACATAGTCTGCGGTTCAGACTCCTTTTTATAAAATTATTGAAATTCATCTAAAACTTCATTTTATTGTTTGATAAAATTTCAATTTCTATTAGTTTTTTTTTTTTTTTCTTTTTGTTGGGAATTCAGGAAGCTTTCAAATACTCATAGGTTTAATGAACCAAAACTTTAGTACTTTTTGAGTTATTTGCGAATAAAATAAAATGTAAGCCTCTTTTCAGAGAAGCATATTATATAAATAAATTAAAAGCCCTTTAAGTAGAAGACTTAAGCCAAGTTTCATCAAAATCATACAGCCATTTTGGCGCTAGTCTATAGTGACACAAGTTTTTCACTCGCCATTCTGAAACAAATGGCCAGTTGGTATTGAAATAAATATAAAAATAATTATGAATTTTATTGCAACGTTATATCAAAATTTCATAGCAAGTGGTGAAGAATTTTCGGAGATTAGCAGTTTCGAACAAACTAACATTTACATTTTTATTTATATACACTGTTTCCATTTTTTTTTTAATTATAACACTAAAGCTCGTCAGTCAATAGCTACTAAATAAAAAAATGAAATCGGTTGAGAAACAAGAGGAAAAAAAGTAATGAAATGTTTTTTCTTAGCCTATTTATACAATGATTTTTAGACATTTACTAGTTCAGCATGTGTACTTAAGATCACCTGGACACAATTTATAATAATATAAAATAAACTAGTACTTACATTATTTCTTTTTTCATCATATGCTGAGTATAGTTCTTCACAATTTTTTAATAAAGCAGACAGTTCATCTTTCAACTTTTCAAGCTGTGAACTGTTGTTTTCAACATCAATTTCTTTTTGTTTTGCCTAAAAAACAAAAAATAAATATATTATCTGTCATATTATCTACAGAGGATGTCCCATAAGTAGAGAGAAATATTTGAAAAGTTGATGGTAGACATCAAGATCTACAAAAAAGCTCATATAAACAATTCCTCAATTTCCAGTAGAAATGTAAGAAATTTAAGATTTGTTTTTTTTTAAGCGAGTCACGTTTTTTGTAGAATAGGAATCAATAACAAAAAAAATATGTGATTTAAGGAATTGAACATTGCTCCTAGTAAACTAGACAAAATTTACTTTAAACGAACGTAGAGTTTGTCTTTGTTTAAACTATTTAAAGAGGAGTATTGAGCGGCTTAACTAAGCTAAGTTGTGTTTTTTAAAAAATCTTTTATTATTATTGATTTTTTTTATCAATATCTTAACTAAACTACCGTCACCTCACTTTCAGAAAAACTTCCTTGTTAATTAAGCTTTAAGTATATGCTAATTAAATTGAGGTTTATTAGAGAATAATTTGATATTCGTCTTAAATTGTATTAAAAAATGATGTGATTTTTATTCTGTTACCTATAGGTATCCATGTTTTCTGCAAAAATTACTACAATTAACTACATTTTTTGCATGACATGGGATGTATTATAATAAATATAATTGCATAAAAAAATTTTAATTTCTATAAATAAAAGTTTTAAAAATACCTAATGATTTTTCAAATATTTTTCACATAACGCGGTTATGAAACTGTGTTTTTCTCCCAGATCTCCGCCATAGGAATTGATATGCATTTATCAGTGACGAAATTAATGTTTCTAGCTGTAATATTTACGTTTTCATGAAAATAATTGAAGCAATAAATAGGTTTCTTTATTTTAAATGTAAATTTTAGTAAGAAACATTAAGTTTGCCACTGATAAATGGATATCAATTTCTATGACGGAGATCTTCACTTTGTATGAAAAATATTTGAAAAATTATTAGGTATTTTTAATTTTTATAAATTAAATTTGTTTTTAAGGACTGTTATATTTATTATAATACATCCCATATCACGGAAAAACAAGAAATAAAAGCAATCATAAATAGCTATGTCTGCCATGGGGTACTCCTCAAATGTTTCGGTTTTGAAAAATAAAATATTGCCATTTATGATAGTCTTTGACGAACTTAAAATTTATCGAAAAGACATATGGAAGAGAATATACGAGGGGTCCGTGGTACAGACTCCTTTTTATCGAATTATTAACATCCGCCTGAAACTTCAAAAATAGTTTCATCTCATCGTAACCTACAACTATTTTATTTATGAAAACTCTTGAAATTGGAGCAATTTTAATCTGGAGGGGAGCAAACTTTGTCTACTTAATTAGGTGCTAAAAACTTGTAAGATTTGGATCGTAAGATAATTTGATCACAAAATAGATAAAAAAGGTGACCTACAAAAATGTTGGGCCGTTTGTTCTATATAATCTAGTTATTTTGAAAATTTGGGGATGCAGGTCACGCCAAATGGATCAATATTTTTGTAGGCTATTTTTTTTTATCTATTATGTGATCAAATTATATTACAATCCAAGTATAAAGCAAATGTTTATTTACTGTTTATTTAATGTCAGTACTTTCTTGCTACCTTTCTACACCAGACCATTAGAACTCAGCGACCTTCTTGTATACTTCAGAGCCTACAATTAAAATCTTCAATCCAGTCCCACCAGTTCCTGTACTTCTGACCTCAATCCTTTTCTTCACCGAACTGTTGCATTTGACAAATCCTTTGCAATTCAAGCCGTCTCCTTTTGGAATTATATCCCTTCCAATATCCGACATGTACAATCAGTTTTCTTATTTAAATCTCTCCTTTTTAAGCACCTATTCCCTTCCCAATCCGATTGATCACGAAATGTACATAAGAGAACTTCTTAAGATTCCCCAGAAACCATGTTATATACTAATGTTTTCTATTTTCCTTTGTTTAGTCTGTATATATATATATATATATATATATATATATATATATATATATATATATATATATATATATATATATGCTTTTGTTTTGTTCTTTTTTCTTCCTATATTTTTTATTTATAATTAGATATCATTTTGTAAATATTTAATGTAATGTATGACCACACAGCCATTTCCTCAGTATTTATACTTTGCTCTAAAGGGACAACATTCACAGGATAATAAAAATATTTTTCATTTCAGTACTATTACAAAAGACAGAACATTATTAAATAACTCTGCAAGATATGAATAACAGAAAACAAGAAGATCAAGCACCAATGCTGGCAACTCCAGTTGAATGTAACATAACTTAAGGAATATTCGTTGTGGTCATGTTGTTGGGTAACAAAAGAAAAAATGTGTTTCAGCATTGATATAAAGTGGGATTTTCGGTTAGCCGATTTTAAGGAAAAAGTTGCTAGGACATCTAAGGCATATACCTATCTTAAATACGTAATATCAGTTTCCTACAACTTTTCGTTTTCGAGCTAGAGTGTTCACATACACAGACACAAAAAAAAAAACAGATCATTTTTCACAACTTGGTTATTTGGATTCAGGGTACCTCAAAACGTGTATTTTCATTGAAAACTCAGACTCGAATATTTTCAGGATCGCAATACTTACCCTTACTATATGTTACATATATAGGTAAGTGAAAATAAAAATAAAAAACTGTAGCCATCATCAGAAAAAATTTGGCCAGAACAAAAATTAATTCTCTATATTTTTGTTCTGGCCAACAAATCCATATCTTTGTTGATATGTTTTTTAACTAAAGATGGTGAAGAAGGAATCTTGCATGTAACTAATAAAAATGAGCAGTTGATAATTAATAAATAACAACAATCCTATCATCATCTAAACTGATTGTAGAAAGATTTGTCTGACTAATTTTCTCATAAGTAAGTTCAAGAGAAAATTACATTCCTTAAGATTCATTTTTATCAAATTCATCAAATGTTAAATGTTTCAACTTTACATTAGCTGGATTAAATATCTTTCATCATCAAGATAGGAATAATCTGATTGTATCTATCAACAATTATACTGTTGTCAACTTTTAACCTTTAGGTTTCAGAGAGCCTTAAGCAAGGTCAGGTGCCCTTTTTATATTTTAAACTGTCTTTTAATTTTATAATTAAATAATTGTCTTAGGGCTCCCACAAAGCCATTGAATTCCTTACCTATCCAATCCTTCATAAAATCCTCAATGCTTCTTACTTTGTCACTAATAAAATCATCCATAACGATCTTAATGTTCCTTATGTTTATGATTTGGCCCAATCCAGATACCTATGCATCCATAATAAACTTAAGAACCATCCGAACCCTCTCGTTTCTCACCTTGCTTCCTCCCCAATCCCTGATAACCCTTCAACGCATCTGAAAAGAAGGTGACCTCGAGATCTCCTATTGCACATAATATTTTTTTAGAGTGCTACCAGTGGGTAGTTTCTCAACAAGTGTTTTCCTGTTATCACATTTACTGAATGTATTTTTTCTTAATACAGTTGTAAAATATCATATAAATAAATATATATAAAAAAAAATAATTGCCTTACATAACTTCTACATTATACTGCAACATTTACATTCGTTTATTTTTATTCGTTTTTTATTCTTTATTTGAAAATTTTCATTAACCTTTTTTATTAACGAATTTCTGATATGGAAAATTTTAAAAAACGTTATAAAAACGTCTAGTTTCCACTAAAGAGCTCTATAACGAGCCAGAATATTTGGATTTGCGCAACTAAACAATAAAGAGTTGAAGCCAATATATTGGCATTGCATGCTGTTGTCACAGCCCGAACCATTATATTAGCTTTACACATCTAAAGTGTTAATCATAAGTGTCATTGATAAATAAAATAAGTGGAAACAAATTTCAAGACGCTAAATCTCGCCTAGCATGTATTTCTCCTATTTACTATAATATTGTAATATCCTTTTACCAAAGAAGTGGATATTGATTAAGAAGCTGAATTATTTAGAAAAAAGTCTTGTAAATTTTCAAGTTTTTTTTCTTGTAATAAGAACGGTTCTTGCAGAAAATCTAATAGAAAATGATTAAGTTGTTTAATTGTTGAAAAAGGACAGTATTTATTTTTGAAATCACTTTAAAATAAGTATAAATGTGACCAGACACAAAATGTGTGACATCGATTAATAATCAATCAATCAAAATATTTTTTTTTTTTAAATAACAATGAATATTTAATGCAAGCAAACTGCCAAATTTTGAAACAACGCATTTACAAATAAAATTATAAAATGTGAACTGTGTATAATATTAGATTCAATTTTTAATAAGTTAGAAATTGCTATACCGAAAAATACACAACACATCGCTAGTCACATTCTTGCCATAAGTCCTTCAGATATTAAAGAAAATGTGATATTTGCACTGCATTTAATTGGAAAGTGCTGTGCTTTGTACTTTAGTTTTGTTCTTGGCGAAAAAAAGGGAAATTAATGGATATAAGACTGCCTGGTATGCTTAATATCTATTACTAGTTGTTGAGTATTAATATGATTAAGTTAAGGTTGATTAACTTTAATAAATATCTTTGAAAGAAAGTTATAGATTTTTGTTAACAATATTTTTAATAACAATCATAATCTGAACACAATTAAATTAAATTAAACAATTAATGACAGTTTTCAAAGAATCACTACCTCTCCAATTAATAATTTATTAGATATTTTATTTTTAAAAACTCCGTTCAACAGCAGCACTGCAGAATCCAGTTACAGGCTACCATGATGATTGCTGCTGTAGGTTAGGACAGGTGGATACAATTTTGCTCACAGGAGTATATGATATGATATCACGGGATCAAAATACAGTCCATGAGGACAGGATTGGTGATCCATTAGTTAGTGTAATAAACAAGGTAATTTAAGAATAGGTTACAAAAATTGGTGAATTCTGACATGTGAATATGCCCCCTTTTTAATCTAAAACAAATATCAGTAAACTAACCGTAGAAGAAATATATCAATTTCTC